ATTTGTGAATTGGTGTAAACTATACCCCTGATTTATGATTTTTTCCCTTCACCGAGTTGCCTCCTTTTTCGTTAGTCTTCATGCTTTTACGGTTTCACCTCTATTACCGTTTTACAAATATTAATTTATGTTATGCCCCTATTTTGTGGAAATTAAGATTAGATTTTTAGTAAATTTTAGCAAAAGTAATGTAATGTACGGTTAAACAGTAGTGGATCTTATAAAATATGTAATTAAAATTAATTGTTAACTTTTACTTAAATTAGGAGAGCATCTAACTCCATAACATGATAGTAGAGGAAAAGGAATGTCTGGTCCAAGGAACGCTAGATGCCACATAACAAAGTTTCAAGCTTTCAAGGAATTGGATCGTCTTCGCATCGTAGAATGATGTAAAACAAAAAATTAGTCTGCGAGAGGTCAAGATTTTTAAAAAAGTCAAAGTATGAATAACCAAGTGAAGTACCATATGCAGCTTGTAGCTACACCAATACTCTAATAATTTTTTTTTCTTTTTAGTTATAGCGGACACCTAAGAACTAATTAGAGATTTGTTAAGTACGAGTCTGAAAGTACTAAGTCGATTTTTTTACCAGTTACTTTTTGTTAAAATAAAATCTAAGACTTTTATTTACCGTATGGACAAGAACATTTTAATTAGTCCTCGTTTGGTTGGGATTAAAATTAATATTTTAATTTAAGTTAAAATCAACAATTAATTTCAGTCATGCATATTATGAGATCCATAATTTTTCAATCACATGTTTTAACATTTTTTTATCAAAATCTATTAAAATTTTAATTTTAATCCTCTCCATAGAGTGGCTTAATGTGAAAACGCGAATCTTTGTGCAACACATTAACACATAAGTTCTACTAGTATTAGAATGTCTATGTAAATTCTAAGTTGGATCTTGATACATATACATCAAGATTTACATAATGTTACATGACATTCTACCATTTGTTAGTTTTAAAATATGTTACGGTTCGTAAATGGAAGCGACATGTGGCACCATATTCCAGTTGTGGGACCAGCTTAGTTGGCTAGGGTGTATTTTCCTAGCCTTTGACGTGGAGACCGAGGCCCTAACTTATTCCGAGACCTTAACTGATCCGAGGCTTTCGTTTATTATGGGGCTATGTTATCAATGAAGATCCACGTGGAAAAGATATAGCAATGATGAAGATCTTCATGTGAGTGATTGATGTGGCTTTTTTGAAAAGCAACTTTATGTCTTGTCTTGTCAATGTAAGAGTATTTAATATTTTGTAAGGTTAGGAAAGTCAACTTGATTGTTAGGATTTGATGCCCTGGCTGAGGAGATGAGGCCACGTGTAAATTGATCCAAAGGTCATTATTTCATTTGTAACACTATAAATACCCTCACAATGTAACACAAAAAGGGTAATGAAAAATTCTAAATACTTGAAGCAATATCATTCTCCTATCTCTCATTGGAACAGAGAATTTCAACATAAATCTTATTTTTATCGATTGGTTTCTTATACAATCGTGTTACATTTATATTGTCGAAAGCCCGAACGGAAACGTCTCGTGTCTTTGAGCTACTCTCACGTTCAGTTTCTAGAGTCCTATTGACCGTCGATCAGCATTAACGTGTTGGATCAAGCTTACGTGTGTACGAGTGGGCCCGGTATTTGTGGGCAATATTTGTTAGGGTCAACAGATTGGCGCTGTCTGTGGAAATCCACACTATAACCACGAGCAACCTCGTGAGAAAAGCTAGCTTGAGAAAATATTTTGGGCACCCCTTTGAAAAAGGATTTGTTCTTGCGAAAAGAACAAGAGGGAGCCCCCAGAATCGAAAAACAATATTCAAGGTTTTGAGCTTCAGAAGATATGAGTTCAGAAGAGGAAGCTCCCCCCCAAGCGAGCCAGGGAAACTGATAATGAGGCCCCAGTGGTTCGATGCCGACCCCATCACCACCATAGACGAGGTGGTAGGAAGTTGGCGGCCCAGTTTACTATAGAAATGGCTACTATGGTTACCAATATGAGGAACATCACCAACCAA